GTAAAGCTTGCTTATATGCAGGGGATTTTTATTCAGGGCGGGGTAAGGGAGCAGGAGGAATGGAAAATTTTCAAGAGGAAATAGAGGCAAGGTAAATCTTAGCCCATGGTCCCATTGTTAGCGAACCGCAGCTATTTCTGAGAAAAGGGAGAACATTTTGCAACATGTATTGTGCAGCTTATCCGGAAAAAACATCTTGTAGTCGCAGCGATTCTGGTCATCTAACAATGATTAACTCTTGATTCAGTATGAGGCCCCTTTTGGCCTTCGACATCTCCCCCTTCTGTATACAAAAAGGGATGATGAATCTTATTATCAAGAGAGCCCCTGTCTTAGGCCGCATAGGCTGCGCCCCTGGACAGGCAACGTGCCTTGTTGAGCCGGTCTTGACGACCTCTGTACGTTGTTGCCCCCTGTTCCAGGACTTATGCATACTCCCGTATGAGTACTCCCTTGCTGCATCAGTCTTAGCATGTTGAGTTATTAAACCTGAGTCCTTGATTACTGAACCTGAGCTCTTGCTGTGACCCTCGCTCCTCCCCCGGGTCAGCTGCTACTAATTTGTGGTAATGGACCGAAATACTTTTAGGTAAGGCCGAATCAATTTGTCTTTTAATAAGCTGGGTTAGCCGTTGAAGGGCCCATGGGCCAAAAGAAAGAAGCAATAGGAAAACAATTAAGGGGGCTATAATAGTTGGGAGTAAAGTAGACAACCAGGGGGATCCCTGTAGCAAATTTGAGAACCATCCTTTTTGGTTCTCAAACTCTCTCTTTCTTTTAGCCAACCGTTCTCTCAGGATTTCCATAGACTCTTTGACAATGCCAGTATGGTCAGCATAGAAACAACATTCTTCCCTTAAAGCAGCGCAAAGGCCACCTTCCTTAAGGAACAGGAGATCCAGCCCTCTTCTATTTTGCAAAACCACCTCGGATAGAGAGGTCAGCGATTTTTCCAGAGCACTGATGGATCTTTCTATGGCCTCAAGATCCGTGTTCATAGCTATTTGTAATTGCAACAGTTGATTGTTTTGTACAAGGGCAGCTGTTCCGGTTCCTATACCGGCAACAAGGCCACCAATCCCCAGCATAAGGGCAATGGTCATAGAGACAGGCTCTCTCATCACTCTGCGCTGTGCCTGTGAGACCAGTATCTCCCCTGAATAGTATTTGATTTGAGGCCAAAGCTGTACCAAAATGCAATATTCATGTGAAACATCAAGGCTTAAAGCAAATATACAGGGTGTTAATCCTGTGTTGCAAGCCCAATAGGTACCATTGGGTGCCTCAAGATAGTAGCTTCCTATATAGGGGATTATAGTTTTATTGCAAAACTGGGTGTAACTGGAGGGCACCTTTCCTAAACAAAGCCCTTGTCCTGAAACTCCGGGCAGGGTAAGTTGGTGAGGGACAGCCCTGCACCTTGCTGATGGGGAGGTGATATTGGATGTACTGGCCATAAAGGCAATCCCTTCATAATAGGGGGGCTCAGCAGATAAGCAGAGCCAGCAATCTCGCGTAGAATTAGGACTGGATGCATTGAGTGCTAGATAGGCTCCCTGTACCAAATTGAATAATCTATCTATAGTGCCTGGATCTGGGCTAATAGAAGGGGTAATTGGGGTAAGCTTAGGGGTAGACGACTGGGCAGGAGTTTGAGCGGGCTTAGGCAGAGTCTTTATCCCTCGATCGGGGAGGACCGGATTTGGGCCTACAGGTTTTGAAGGGGGGTCAGTCTCACGCTAAACCCGTCATGGAGGACGCTACAGCTGTTGGGAAGGGTCGGCATCTGGCTTGCGGCACCACGATATTTCCCGTCATGGACGGCTCCAAGGCCAAGGAAATCGGGAGGTTCGATGTTCAAGGCCTGAAAAATCCAGTCCTTTAGCTTTTGTGTGGGGAGAATGGTTGGAATCATAGCATGGGCCACATGATTGCCCACCGCAGCGATAGGTGCCTGGGCTGCTACGGTTATAGGGCCCCACCGTAATGAAATCAGTAGTTACAGGGGCGGTCCACCAGATGTGTCCAGTGCTAACACAACTCCAGGAGGCACAGTAACCATCCTGGGGTCCACCGCATTGAGCTGTTAGATGGCGGCTAAGAGAATGCCCAGGGCAGACATAAAAACGGGTCTGTCTAGTTGCTGCCTTACCCCAAGGGGAGTTACATCCCCACCCAGACGGGTTGGTCCATCTATCTACAATATCACAAAGGTCTACATATAGATCTGGGAACCATTTTCCAAAAGGAAAGTCTATGGAGGTGTTGTCTGCGGCTACATCCCCGGTGGAGAGGTTGATGATGACCCATCTCTGAGGGGTAGGCGTGTGCGGCTGTCTTCCAGCGGCGGCAGCAGTCATGAGCATGAGGCAAAGGGTCTGGAACATGGTCTCTGGCCATCTAACTTTCCATCCTGAAGAAGACATCTGTAAGAAAAAGAAAATCCTTCTCAGGGGTGTCCCTGGACATTTGCTAAGAAGAATCCTTTATATTGAAGGGCTTGACTAATCTTGCTGGCAACCAGCGGGCTCCATTGTCCTTAGTATTATAGATGCAAGCGGAGCCTTTTCCCCAAATTAAAACGGGGTCTGGTCCATTCCAGGCCCCCGTGATGGGATCTTTCCAGAGAACCTTTGCGTATTCCTGACGAGTCTCTGGATGCCAATGCCTATCAGCTGCAGATTTTCCTTGCTCATCAAGGGTTAAAAAATTTAGAACAAAAAGGGCATGAGCAAGAATAAGTTTTTGATTACCTTTATGGGGAAACAGAGTTTCTTGTGCCTTTAGCTTATTAACAGTATTTTTTAAGGTTTGATGGGCCCGCTCCACGATGCCTTGTCCTTGGGGATTGTAAGGAATTCCGGTAACATGTTTGATACCCAATTGTAAGCAAAATTGTTTAAACTTTGTGCTAGCATATCCCGGGCCATTATCTGTTTTTATAGAAACAGGCTGTCCTAATATGGCAAATGTATGTAACAAATGGCTTATAACATCTTTGGCAGCCTCTCCGGTATGGGCAGAGGCAGAAATGAACCCACTATAAGTATCAATAGTGACATGAACAAATTTGAGCCGTCCAAAAGCAGGGACATGTGTAACATCCATTTGCCAAAGTTGACCCGGAATTAGGCCTCTAGGATTTACTCCTACATGAGGTTCTGGTAAATATATCAAGCAATTTTTGCAAGATTTAACAATTTCCCTGGCCTGATCTCTGGTAATGGAAAATTTTTGTCTCAAAGTCTGGGCATTGAGATGATGGAGTCGATGGGCCTCCTGTGCGGCTGCCACCCCATTCTGTTCAGAGAACAGGACTTGTGGGGCTCGGGTAGCAGCATCTGCTAGTTCATTTCCCAGTGCTAATGGTCCGGGTAATCCTGTATGGGCACGAATATGGCCAATGAAAAAGGGAGAAGGCCTCTGGCGTATTAACTTTTGTATTTCTGAAAACATTTTAAAGGTAGAAGTTTGAGGCTGAATTGTAGGTACCATTTCTAATATTTGTAAGGCCCCTACTACATAGCGGCTATCAGAATATAAATTAAGTGGGTAATGGGCAAATTTCTTTAATACCATTAAAGCGGCATAAAGCTCAACCAATTGTGCTGAGGTAAAGGGTGTACTAAAAACAACTTTATTACCCTCAAATACATAGGCAGCTCGTCCATTTTTTGAGCCATCTATGAAAACCGTATGGGCATCTGGAATAGGTTCTAATTTTGTATTCCGGAGGAAAACAAAAGGTGTGCAGGAAAAGAATTGGAGCAACTTATTACTTGGTAACTGGGTATCAAATTTTCCCATATAGGAACAAGCAAGGACGGCCCAGTCAGGGTGATGATAGGCCAGCCAGTCTAAATTATTTCTATCATAGGGCTGTACAACTATTTCAGGTTCCTTTCCAAAATATTTAGTAGAAGTTTT